AAAAAAAAAAAAAAAAAAAAAAAAGAGATAAGACTATGGTGTTGACCGGCCTAGTAAAAACCAAGAGCGTGAGGACCTAGGAAACCGCCACCTTTGTGTTTTTATTCTTTTTAACTTTTCAATTTCTACTTTAGTAACAATTTAGCCCAACATTTTTGACTAATTTACGTGATTAGCCTGCCGCTTTGGACTCCGCTCTTCTAGTTTGTCCACTGCTTTCCCGCTCATTGTTTTCTAATTTTTGTTATATTACGAAATCAGCTCATAAAAAGTCCAAAATTCACAATTATACAGCTCATTTCTTTTCTACTTTTCTGCACAGCCATAGAATATGCACTAATTTCAAAAATACTCTGTTATTTGTTTTAAGGAGAGAAAAAACAGGGATTTGAAAGCAAAAGGTGGGAATATTGAACCCATATGGAACCAGCTAAGACAATCAAGGCTCTACAACTTTGAAGAATTACATTCGCAATTCCAGAATTTTTCTTTTGACGAGACACCCACAATTATTATATAACTATTTTTATGATCTGATATATAATAATGATAAGCATCTGCCACAAGGCTTTATTCTAAGTATATATTATGTTTATATAACAATTAAGTAACTTGCGTTCTGACACCCAATTGTCACCTAAGGTGCTGCTTCAAAGCAATTCAAGAATCAAAACTAAGCTATGGTTAGTAATTGAACTTTACTAGTATGAGCATCATCTCCTAAGTCATAATGATGAACAAAAAAACAAAGTTTTGGGGACAAGGCATGCCTTCTAAGCAAAGAGAAGGAAAAGTAATGCATAGAACAATGCCACCGGGCCAGCTTTTGTCCCCATGTATCATATCCCAGGCCTTTCCTCAAATGATTCTTCCTATCTTATTTCACACCCAAAAAATAATAATAATAATAATTAAGACCCAAAAAATAACTAGTTTGAAAAGAAGGATATTTTGGTCAATAGACCGAAACTGCAAGGAAATAAGGAAGGCTAAAAAAAACAAAACGGTAAACTGCGCTGAATTCGCAGCCGGGTACGACGGTTTTTTACCGGGGTAAACCAACGCGGGTCGTAGCCGGCGCGCCAGTCGTTTTCAGCCGTCCCAAGAGTTTGTTTTTGTGCTTACGCGTCGCTTTTTGATTGGGTAAAGACTTGAACAGTGACGTGCGTCAACAAATCAAAATTTGCGTTTTTCGAGGGATGCTCGTTTTTGTTTTGTTTTTGCTCGGCTCTTGTTTTAAATTTCGAATTTTGAACAAAAAACGTTTTTTATGGCGTTTCAATGGGTTCAGTCACTGCACCTGGAGTGTAAATAGCATCAAATGTGGGGCGGCAGTAAAAAAGTGATGGTGTTGAATTACGGAAATGCCCTCAATAGAAAAGGTAAACGGCACTCTTCCTGATGGAACTGAAGGCGAACAGTGAGTGTACGTGAAAGAGACTGGAAAACAAACAGAAAAGTACGGAATCTTCTGAAATTTCCGATGACAGGTTTCCTAAGATGTGGCCTTTCCTGATACGGTCTCATGCTTCGTCAGTAAACCTACATACACAACTTCACAAGCACGCAGAAGGAGTTTTGTTTTGGTTTATTATTATTATTTTTTATTTAAAAATTATGATAATTTTAATTAATTTAAAATTGAGTATAATTAAATTTCATTAAAAAAAATTTAAAATAAATTTTTTAAAAAAAATTAAAATTAAAAAAATAATTTATAAAAAATCAAAAATTTTTTTATTTAAACAAATAAATTTGTTGGTTCACGTAAGGAGTGTTTTGGCTAGCAATTTTATGTCAAAAGTTTGCTCTTTGAAGTTTCTGTTTTAAAAAAATAGGAAGTTTTCACTTTACAATTAAATTGTGTCAAATTATAAAATTAAAATCATTGGATAAAGGAAAACTACCTCAGCTGCTTATTATTTTTATTATTTTGGTGTAGTTTAGAATTGGTATAATTTAAATTAGACAAAATATTATTGTTTCAAAATTCATTACCAAGGAGAAAGAGTAGTATTACTTTTTAAAAACTGTTTTCATCAAATGTTCAGTTGATTAAACAGCTATTTGAAGGTTGAGGGGGTGTTTGAAATAATTATTTTGATACTTGATAGTTAATATATAATTGTTGATAATTATTACTATTTATAACTTAAAATATTTAAACTATTTGATTAAAATTAATAGTTAATAATTGTTTTCTAACTTTTGAAACAAACATCCCCTTTGTCACTAAAACATTTAACATTAACCCTCAAAAACAATAACGGCTAACCGAATGTGCCTTTGGATTCTACAATTAAACTGGGAGATATCCAAAAATTTTGAAACTATATATCTTTTTATTAAAAATTTATGAAATTTATTTCAATTTTTACTCAAAAGTTGAATGCTAAATCTAAATTAGTTAGCCTATTAACTATTGACCCTTTTATACTTTAGTCTTCAAAATTTATCTTTTCCTCAATATGGTTTGATAATTTTAAAAGTGAATCAATATAGTCTAACCATTCCTTTGTTGTTAGTTTTACTAATAGAAATCCATGTGGACGGTTATTTGGTAATCTGCCATGTAAGCACTAAATGAAGGAAAAATGAAAAACTTATGACCTTTTTATAAAATTTTTTTATACAAATTGTTGTTATCATGAAGTGTTCAATTGATTAAATAGTTGTTTGAAAGTTTAGTTGCTAAAATATTTAACATTATTAGTATTAAAGTTTAATAAAGAGAAAATGAGAAAAGGGTGTGAGTTATTTATTTTGTGTAATTTAGTTGTTAGAAAATAATTGAGAATTTATAGTCAATATGTTATTATTAATACTAGTTTTTATTTATAGTTCAAACATATTTATTTGTCTGATTAGAGAAAATAGCAATAGTTAAACCAAATATGACCTTTCACCTTTTTCTCCTCGTGGTGCTTATGTGATAGATCGTGTGTCATCAAGTGCTTATGTGATTTTCATTAGTCCAACTCAAACTAATGAATTGATTAATAGAAAAGTCACGGAGCAAACCATGCATATCAAGGCAATTTTTGAAGTTACTAAACCATTTTAGAAGAAAATAAACCTAATAAATTAATGCGATAAAAGCTTAATAGTTAATAAATGAGTTGTTAAATTTAACCCAAGAGTTGAATTTTTTTTTTAAGAATAAAAAAAACTATGGTCCAAATTTTCTTTTTGAATAAAGAAACTCTTTTAAGGATATGATAACTGCAGAGCGATATGGTTGTTATCACTATTAATTTTGTTAAAATTATTGAAATTATTAAAATTTTATTTTAATTTAACTGTTAAAATAATTAATAATTAATAAAATAATTAATATTTATTATTTAATAAGTTAAAATTAATTTATAAATAAATATTTTTAAACATCAAAATTAATTATTTAAAAAAAATTATAAATCAATAAAATTACAAATAAAGCTAGCCATCTCATTAATATTATTAGTAGCAATAATCTCTGCCACTAGAGAGACACTTACTTTGAAATTTAATACTTTGAACTTCTGTAATTAAAAGTAAAATATTAGGCGCATGTAAATTGACTCCATAAGTAGTTTGAATTTTAAAATGACCAAATCATAATCAGTATGATGAGAGAGGGCAGCCAGTGAAATGTTAATAGAGTTACATAAGTAATGTAAATTTGGTAATGATATAGTTACAATTATATCTTAGAAAATTATGAGTTTATAATTTTAATATATTAATTAGGAGGGCCTAAAATTTAAATTACTCAAACTTTTTCATAAGAGTTCAAATTTTGCAAGATTAACAATATCTCATTCTTGAAGATCAATTTCTGGGGGGAAATTGAACGAATTCATAGCAATCGTGGTCCCAGACACCCTGCTGGTAGGTATGGGTGGTAACATAATTAATGAGATTATGAGATATTTGATAAATTTTCATGCGTGGTCTCTATGAATTTACTTTTGTGTTGAAAGTAAAATTTTCTTTTGAGATAACAACATACGTAGCAATGTTATAATTCTAAATGATATTAAATAAATAAATATGTATAATATCATAAGTAAATTTTTAAATAAAAAGAGTTTATTATATAATAATATATTATATTAATTATAAATCTACAATATTACATAGTATTGTAACTATATATTTTCATAACGTACTAATAATAAAAACATATATATCAATAATATAGTTTTTGACTCTGGGCACGCCTACAGTTATTATGTTTCCGTTAAGTCCAACATTTGACATAGAATTATAATTTAAATTCAAATATACACCCGCCCTTACAAGACAAGCTTTTAAGACCATTTAATCAGAGTTTAGGCTGATATTAGTTACAAACTTCTCCTATATCATGGCATTTATTCTTTGAAAACATGTCTTAAATAGGGATGCCAAAATATGCCCTAATCCATGTAGGTGCTGCAAGGATCTCCATTCTCCAATATTTACAGAAAAGGGGGATGACCAATAAAATTTACTTCCCCAATAAAATTCCTAGTAGAAAATTTGGCCTCTGAAGTTGGCAAGACAATAACTTTGTATAGCTCTTTCATTCCTGTGTTACCTCGTTGCCACCCCTAACTTTAATTTGACACTAGGGCAACTATCTTTCTCTCATACTTATTGCTTTAAGCCTTTAACAAGT